ACATTATTTTTGCTACACTGTTCTACATTACATCATCTTATATTACAATAGCTTACATTACAACATCTTACATTGCTACATCTTACATTGCTACATCTTACATAAAACTTTCTACATTACAAAATACTTCATTATAACATATTTACATTACAACTTACATTATCACATCTTAGATTGCAACATTTTACATTTCAACATTTACATTACAACTTACATTATAATATAATACATCACAAGATTTTGCATTAAAACATCTTACATTGCTACATCTTACATATGAAATCATATATTGCAACATCTTTACATTACAACTTACATTATCACATCTTAGATTGCAACATCTTTACATTACAACTTATATAATCCATTCTTAGCTTGCAACATTTACACCAAACACTCTATTTTACAACATAATAAAATTTATTATCATACAAGCAGATTCTAGATTCTGAATTACCTGTCCTCCATTGCATTAGCCGTCAGTCATACATTGTATTAGCCATCTGTCATATATGTCATTAGCCGTCTGTCCTCCATTGCATTAGCCGTCAGTCATACACTATATTAGCCATCTGTCATATATGTCATTAGCCGTCTGTCCTCCATTGCATTAGCCGTCAGTCATACATTGTATTAGCCATCTGTCATATATGTCATTAGCCGTCTGTCATAAACTGAGCACATTAACAGAAATCAGGAGTCGAAAGGGACATAATGCGTTTGTTTTTTATAAAGGCGAATCATTCTCTCTCTCCTCCATCTGATTAAAGGGAAGTAATGTTAATGTTTTAAATGGCGGTGATGTCTACATTGGCCCACCATTTGTTCCTGTCGCCGTAAAATGTCCACTCAGATCACAGGGACCGTTAAAACATTCAAATGGTGCACGGATGTCTATAGTAGAGTGAGCCTGCTGCTTCTTAGCATGGACACTATTGTAAAGTTAGCACACGTTTTAATGTAGGGACTAATTAAACTCAAAGATAGATATACATGAATTGTTGACAAGGCTTGAGTACATTAAGTAAACAACGTACAGTTAACAAAATAGAGCTAAAAACATAAAGTAAACAACATACAGTTAACAAAATAACGCTAAAAACATAAAGTAAACAACATACAGTTAACAAAATAACGCTAAAACATAAAGTGAACAACATACAGTTAACAAAATAACGCTAAAAACATAAAGTAAACAACATACAGTTAACAAAATAAAGTTAAAAACATAAAGTAAACAACATACAGTTAACAAAATAAAGTTAAAAACATAAAGTAAACAACATACAGTTAACAAAATAACGCTAAAACATAAAGTAAACAACATACAGTTAACAAAATAAAGTTAAAAACATAAAGTAAACAACATACAGTTAACAAAATAAAGTTAAAAACATAAAGTAAACAACATACAGTTAACAAAATAAAGTTAAAAACATAAAGTAAACAACATACAGTTAACAAAATAACGCTAAAAACATAAAGTAAACAACATACAGTTAACAAAATAACGCTAAAACATAAAGTAAACAACATACAGTTAACAAAATAAAGTTAAAAACATAAAGTAAACAACACACAGTTAACAAAATAAAGTTAAAAACATAAAGTAAACAACATACAGTTAACAAAATAACGCTAAAAACATAAAGTAAACATCATACAGTTAACAAAATAACGCTAAAAACATAAAGTAAACAACGTACAGTTAACAAAATAACGCTAAAAACATAAAGTAAACAACATACAGTTAACAAAATAAAGTTAAAAACATAAAGTAAACAACATACAGTTAACAAAATAACGCTAAAACATAAAGTAAACAACATACAGTTAACAAAATAAAGTTAAAAACATAAAGTAAACAACATACAGTTAACAAAATAAAGTTAAAAACATAAAGTAAACAACATACAGTTAACAAAATAACGCTAAAAACATAAAGTAAACAACATACAGTTAACAAAATAACGCTAAAAACATAAAGTAAACAACATACAGTTAACAAAATAAAGTTAAAAACATAAAGTAAACAACGTACAGTTAACAAAATAACGCTAAAAACATAAAGTAAACAACATACAGTTAACAAAATAAAGTTAAAAACATAAAGTAAACAACATACAGTTAACAAAATAACGCTAAAAACATAAAGGAACAGAAACATTGCAAATCCCATCGACATGCATAGGAGCCAAAATGATCAATAAATTGATCGTGGCCCCTTAAGATATAGAAGAAGAAGAAGTAAACAACATAATGTTAACAAACTAAAGCTAAAAACATAAAGTAAACAACATACAGTTAACAAAATAACGCTAAAAACATAAAGGAACAGAAACATTGCAAATCCCATCGACATGCATAGGAGCCAAAATGATCAATAAATTGATCGTGGCCCCTTAAGATATAGAAGAAGAAGAAGTAAACAACATAATGTTAACAAACTAAAGCTAAAAACATAAAGTAAACAACATACAGTTAACAAAATAACGCTAAAAACATAAAGGAACAGAAACATTGCAAATCCCATCGACATGCATAGGAGCCAAAATGATCAATAAATTGATCGTGGCCCCTTAAGATATAGAAGAAGAAGAAGTAAACAACATAATGTTAACAAACTAAAGCTAAAAACATAAAGTAAACAACATACAGTTAACAAAATAACGCTAAAAACATAAAGGAACAGAAACATTGCAAATCCCATCGACATGCATAGGAGCCAAAATGATCAATAAATTGATCGTGGCCCCTTAAGATATAGAAGAAGAAGAAGTAAACAACATAATGTTAACAAACTAAAGCTAAAAACATAAAGCAAACAACACACAGTTAACAAAATAACGCTAAAAACATAAAGTAAACAACGTACAGTTAACAAAATAAAGTTAAAAACATAAAGTAAACAACATACAGTTAACAAAATAAAGTTAAAAACATAAAGTAAACAACGTACAGTTAACAAAATAAAGCTAAAAACATAAAGTAAACAACATACAGTTAACAAAATAAAGTTAAAAACATAAAGTAAACAACATACAGTTAACAAAATAACGCTAAAAACATAAAGGAACAGAAACATTGCAAATCACATCGACATGCATAGGAGCCAAAATGATCAAAAAATTGATCGTGGGCCCCTTAAGATGTAGAAGAAGAAGAAGTAAACAACATAAAGTTAACAAACTAAAGCTAAAAACATAATGTAAACAACACACAGTTAACATCACTGGGAATTAAAAAAAAATAGGAACGAGTAAATGTAAACAGTTCATTTCCTAGAGAACATGATTGGAATGTTCAAATTGAAGAGTGTGAGAAGATGGCCTCTTCGTTTTATTCATTGGTCATTGATAGGTAATAGTACAGGTGAAGTGAATGGTGGCTATGACCTAATTGTTTGGTAACGTTTACTATGAGGTAATTGATTGGTAATGTTTACTATGAGGTAATTGTTTGGTAATGTTTACTGTGAGGTAATTGTTTGGTCATGTTTGCTATGAGGTAATAGTTTGGTAATGTTTACTATGAGGTAATTGTTTGGTAATGATTACTATGAGGTAATTGTTTGTTAATATTTACTATGAAGTAATTGCTTGGTAATGTTAACTATTACAAATAGTTAGGTAATGTTTACTTTGAGGTAATTGTTTGGTAATGTTTACTGTGAGGTAATTGTTTGGTAATGTTTACTGTGAGGTAATTGTTTGGTAATGTTTAGTATGAGATAATAGTTTGGTAATGTTTACTTTGAGGTAATTGCTTGGTAATTTTTACTGGGAGGTAATTGCTGGGTAATGTTTATTATGAGATAATTGCTGCTAATGATGATTTTTAGATGTTTTTACTATGACATCACTGAGATATTTTCTACACACCCCCCTTACCCCCCTCTTTACCCCGGCCCAATATTAGTTTTTCTGTAGAGAAGTAGAAACTATGGCGACAAAAATTAAGTATGACGTCATTCAGAGCTTATTGTTCAGTAAAGTATCCTTACCCAATTTTACCCGAACCATCTTTTGGCATTTTACCTTTCCAAACTCCGTACTGCCCAAACCCTTCACCTACACATATATATGGTTTTTTTAGACCTGTCTCTGAACGTCCCACCATGGACTGTCCCGCCACTCCTGGATGTCACGCCTCTGAACGTCCCGCCCCTCCTGAAAGTCCCACCCCTTCTGAACGTCCCACCCCTTCTGAACCACCCGCCCCCCCCGGACTTCCCCCCCCTTCTGAACGTCCCGCCCTTCCTGAAAGTCCCGCCCCTTCTGAACGTCCCGCACCTCCTAAAGTCCTGATAATTCAGCCAAACAGAAAAAAAAATTTCTCAGCTTTGTTCTTTTTTTCTATGTGAACAAATATATGCTATCATGTTTGGTCGCCGAAGGAGGATTCTTGCCGACACGTTTGGTGTTGTATCCCTTTAAAAAAAAAAGGGTTTTCCCGATACTTTATTTAACCCATTTTACCTAAGCTGATTGCAGTCTCTCCGTATTTTTGCCCTTCAGAATCACACCATGACTAAGTACATCAGCGGTTCTCAACCTGTGGGTCGCGACTCCTTTGGGGGTCAAACGACCCTTTCAGAGCGGTCGCATGAGACCATCGCAAGACGCATAAACTCTACAGTTATGAAGCAGCAACGAAAATAATTTTGCGATTTGGGGTCACCACAACATGAGGAATCATGCTTAAGGGTCGCGGATTCACGAAGGTTGAGAACCACTGAAGTAAATCTTTTTTTTTTTTTGTATACATATTTTTTGCCCCCCATCTCCGTTTAGTGTGTTAATTTAAAATCTCCACACATCTCTTCTCCATTGACCACATTGTCTCTCCACATTTCCCTCCCTAGAAAATCTCGGTGTACGTGTCGGTGCTGACCCTGACGGCCATCTCGCTGGAGCGGTGGCTGGCCATCTGCCGGCCCCTGATGTTCAGGCAGACGTCCGTGCGCGCCAAGCGGGCTATCGCCATCGTCTGGGTCATCTCCCTGGCCTCGGCCGTGCCGGACGCCATCTCCCTCGACCTTCACCTCCTGCCCGGCGACACGCGGGTGTACTGCGCCCCCTCGTGGTCGGAACAAGAGGAGACCATTCATCTCTGGGTCATGTTCATCGTCTTCTACCTCGTGCCCTTGGGGATCATGACCTTCACCTACATAATGGTCGCGCTCTGCCTATGGCGGTCAGGGTTTAATGATGAAAATGATGGTAAGTAGATCTAATCCATAATTTGGGTAAGTTGATCTAATCCATAATTTGGGTAAGATGATCTAATCCATAATTTGGGTAAGTTGATCTAATTCTTAATTTGGGTAAGATGATCTAATCCATAATTAGGGTAAGTTGATCTAATTCATAATTTGGGTAAGATGATCTAATCCATAATTAGGGTAAGTTGATCTAATTCATAATTTAGGTAGGTGGATCTAATCCATAATTTTGGTAAGTTAATCTAATCCATTATTTGGGTAATTTTATCTATTTCATAGTTTGGGTCAGTTGATCTAATCCATAATTTGGGTCAGTTGATCTAATCCATAATTTGGGTAAGTTGATCTAATCCATAATTTTGGTAAGTGGATCTAATCCATAATTTGGGTAAGTTGATCTAATCCATAATTTGGGTAAGTTGATCTAATCCATAATTTGGGTAAGTTGATCTAATCCATAATTTGGGTAAGTTGATCTAATCCAAAATTTTGGTACGTTTCTATAATTATAATTTGGATAAGTAAGTTTCAAACCGAAATGTGAGTAAGTTTATTTTATCCCTAATTTGTGTACTTTAATTTAATCCATACTTAATATGATTGAGGTTATCCAGACCTAAGGTAGGATAATCTTATTCTAATCTAAAGTTACTACTTACCAGCTAAGTGCTATTTCTTATTTTTATACCGTTTTTTCTGTTGTTTTGTTCGCTGACGAAGGCTTTCTGCCGACACGTTCGCTGTTTTGTTGCGTTTATTTTTTCAGGTTTAACCCTACTCTGTTTTACTCATTTTATTTTGTACTAACCTGATTGCAGTCTCTCCCCTCATTACCCCTATAGTAATTATCCAGCGATAGTAAACCCAATCACGGACTTTCTAACTGTTTACCTCCCATCAGTCGGGATCTTACATTGAGCCCTGGGGCCGGGAGCTGCAACCTTTCATTAAGGTGGCGCCAAAGTTTGATGACCATTTAATTGAGCTCGGCAACAATCTTCACGTCTACGTTATAAGCTTAATTAAAAGTCGCTCTTTTAAAAAGTCATTTATCTTAGTGTGTCTTTGAGTGAGATTGAGCACCGCTCTACGTGCCGCCTCCAAAAAGGATTCATAGAATAACCGCAATTGAGAAACGCTGATTAAGCACTTTCAATGTTTTGTTTTTTTATCTGAGTTATTTTTATCGCCACGTAGTGGCCATGTTTGGTTGACTTCCCACAAAGAGCATGTAGCACCAGCGCCCTGCTTCAACTTTACAAAGAGCCAATGGCGTTGTGTTATTTATCTTTTGTTATAGGACTGGTTTCGTCAGACTTACCATTAGATTGACACATTGACTTCCTTCTTGCTCAGATGACCCAAACTTCCCAGGTGATCGGACATGGCAAAGAAATTGACCGACCGACTGACCAACATGCCCACCAACCGTCTGACCAACAGACCCCACCGGCCTCCCAATTCACCAATTGACCAACTGACCAACTGACCAACTGACCAATTGACCAATTGACCAATTGACCAACTGACCAATTGACCAACTGACCAATTGACCAACTGACCAATTGACATAGCGTCTGAATGGGCTGTACCGCACTTAAAGTTTGGTCCAACGCCTAAATGACGTCATCATCTCGTCCACAGAGGCGAGCGCCAACGTCCCGCGAGCTCAGATGTTACTCCGGCGCAAGAAGGCCAAGATGCTGATCATGGTGGTGGCGCTCTTCGCCGTCTGCTACCTGCCCGTGTATGTTCTGTTTATTCTAAGGTGAGCTTTCTCCCCCTCCCCACCCCCCTTCCCCCCACCCCAAACCCCAAACCTTGTTTGCTTTGTACGCTGATTGATCACAGTGTGTGGTGATGACGTTTTGTCTCTACTGTTGTGCTCATGTTCAGTGTAGCGATGAGACAGATAACGGCAACCGTCCACACGTGAGTTGTTGTTTTTTTTGGGGGGAGGGTGGTTGAACTTGAGAGTCACGTGATGGGTGGCCAACCGGTTCACATTAGTGCAAAGAGTTCATCTTATGGGAACTCTTGCTGGCTGTGAGCTGAAGGGAAGTATAGAGGAAACCTAATGTGACATATTGTATATTATAGGTTTGATAAACGTAATGTGACACATTGTATATTAGTCGTACAGGTTTGGTAAACCTAATGTGATTTATGTTTTATATTATAAGTTTAGTAAACCTAATGTGGAAGATTGTATTTCAATCTTATAGGTTTAGTAAACCTAATGTGACAGATTGTATAGTATTCTTATGCTTTAAAAAAAAATCCAAACACTTATGAGCTCCAATAGTTGAATATTTTAAAAAGAAAATATGGTCATACGGTCAACACTGAATATTGTGTGGGTGAACAATCATGGATTTTAAAGGATATTTTTTCCGTCATTTTTACAAGAAGAATCCACGAATAGTAGATTGGTTAGGTGAGTCGATTAATAAATTGAGCTTCTCTGCAAATGTATTCCGTTTGAGTGATCTGAGAGCAGAGCCCTTTTGCTCCCTTCTTCGTCTGAACGATCAGAGACCTGTTGCTACCTCATCCGTCTAATAGATCTAAAGGCAGACCCCTGTTCCTCCCCCCCCCCCCAGTTTCCACATTATCTCCCCATCCCACGCTGGTTGGTAACTCATGTAGTCTGAAGAAATTTAAAGGGCATGAGTCGTCGTCCCCCCCCCCATGTCCCCCCACCCCCCAACATTTTGTTGTATTGAAAGCAACTGGTTACAACCCAACACCCCCTCCCCCCTGTTTACAAAATAAAATACGGTCAGTATTAAAAATATGATCATGATAAAAATATCTGGCGACGCTGAATCGTCCCTAGATATTCTTAGTTTCACTAATAAGGCATACGCTAGGATTTTAAAATAATTATGATCATCTTAAAGCCTAACAGTAATAAGGGAACAATAAAAAAGAAATCAGAGGCGTTGCTTTAATGAAGGCACGCATGGTTGACTGCACACAGAGTTATTTTATGATATATTAGATCAAATAAATAATATATCAATAATGAAACGCACAACTCAAAATGGAAAGCGGGCCGTAACACTTTATGAATAACTCGTGTGGGCCGAATGAAAATAGGTCAGGGGGGAGCTATTTAAAAAAAATTTTAAGAAGAATATATCGTTACTTCGCGGGGCGCCAACGGGCTGCTGGCGGGCCGTATGTGGCCCGCGGGCCGTATGTCGTGCATGCCTGTGTTAGAAGTTGGCTTGTCAATGGATGTTTGTGTGCGTTAAGTTAAAACGTACTGGTGTCTATCGGATGAGGTATCGGTCCCACTTTTGCTCCACTCAATTGAAATGGTAATTTTGAATAAATAATTTATTGTACTGTTAATGCAATTGGAATCCCTGGCTAACCCCCCCTCCCTTCCCCCTGTTTTTTTATTCACTACCTCAAAGAAGGCTCCACACCCCCCCCCCCCTCTTACCAAACGCACACACACACACATTCTAAAGTCTAACATTTTGTTACTTGAATTATTTCTATCCCGCTTACAATGTCCCTTTTGCTCCCTTCTTCGTCTGAACGATCAGAGACCTGTTGCTACCTCATCCGTCTAATAGATCTAAAGGCAGACCCCTGTTCCTCCCCCCCCCCCCCAGTTTCCACATTATCTCCCCATCCCACGCTGGTTGGTAACTCATGTAGGAACTGATCTTCTTTTACCATGGTATCAATAGTCTCTTTGAAATCATTTAAGTCTAGCTGACCAAGTACTTTACGTCAAACTGACCAAATTATTTGAGTCCAGCTGACCAAACCATTTAAGTCCAGCTGACCAAGTAATTTAAGTCAAACTGACCAAATTATTTGAGACCAGCTGACCAAATCATTTAAGTCCACCTGACCAAGTAATTTAAGTCAAACTGACCAAATCATTTAAGTCCAGCTGACCAAATCCATCCCATTTAAATTACGAGGCGTGGTGACGTACTCTATGACACATGATTGATTATACGGAACTTATCCATCTGCGTCTCTGACTGGTGCAAACAAAAATCTCATCACATTCTATGACAAAAACAACCTCATCAATACGTCAACAACAACAACCCCCCTCCCCCACCCCCCCCGTAATTATGGCGGTCATTGACAGACACTCTGCTTAGGGCTCATTTCATCATTGTTCAGGCGTAGATTCGGTGGACACAGGGATTTGAACAACCCGTCAGTGGCCCCCCGCCTGTCACGTGATCAGCCATGGATATGCATCATAGCGATGTTATGGACCAATGGGAGATAAGCAAGAAACGTGTACAAATAGTCAACAGAACATGATTAGTCTTGGAAGCTTAATTAACTGTAGGATAGGTCAGTCAGTGACCACTATGTCAGCTGTAGGATAGGTCAGTCAGTGATCAATATGTCAGCTGTAGGATTGGTCAGTCAGTGACCAATATGTCAGCTGTAGGATTGGTCAGTCAGTGACCACCATGTCAGCTGTAGGATTAGTCAGTCAGTGACCAATATGTCAGCTGTAGGATTGATCAGTCAGTGACCTATATATCAGTTGTAGGATTAGTCAGTCAATATCCAATATGTCAACTGTAGGATTGGTCAGTCAGTGATCAGTATGTCAACTGTAGGATTAGTCAGTCAGTGATCAGTATTTCAGCTGTAGGATTGGTCAGTCAATATCCAAATGTCCACTGTAGGCTCGGTCAGTGACCAATATGGCTGCGTCTCCTTCTCGACTACGTAGCAGCATTCTTATGATTTTTGGCTTATGATCAGTTCTTCAAGCTGTAGTAGAGGCGGTATCCGGAAATTTGTTTGAAAGAAATTTCGTCGACGAAACATTTTCGTCAACGGAAATTTGATCGAACGGAAATTCGGTCGAACCTTTTTGTTTTCAATTCACATGTTAAAACTTTGCGTCAAATTTATTTTTTGGGGGCATTATTTTGCTTGACCATAGAGTCTAGTGCGTTCAAAAGGAAATTGTATTTTATCATAACAAATCCCCCCCCCCCCACACCCACAA